ACAGCATGTTCAGCATCTGTCGTATTGCCATCAGGTGTTGGAGCATTGCCTCCTGACACTTCAGTTAAAGCAACTGCATAAGCAATATCTGATTTCTTTAAAACCAGTCTTATGATTTGGCGACGCTTGGGAGGCAGCTGAACAAGTACATGTTCCTTCAAGCGTCGTATCTGCAACATACAAATGAAAGACAAGCACAACGAAAGAAAGAGAGAGCAGTGTATCAGCACAGTAACTAAAAGCAAATGACAACATGCATTCTATGAGAGATGGAATTCGGTTATTGTTATTGCAGTGTCCCTGGTTTTCTAATTTTCCTTATCAATAAAATTTTCACTTATTAAATGAAGAGGGGAGGAAAGCTGGAAAGCTCTTGAGAGAGAAAGTGGAAAAGGAATTGTCTAGTATAGTAGCATTAAAATAAAAATGGCTTGGTTGGATTGGTTATAGCGAATGATCGTGGATATCTCTTTGATCATTTATAATTGTTGGAAGTTTTTTTTAAAAAAATCATGTCTTCAATGAATTACGCAATTATTTTCCAAAATAACACTCTCCAACTCTCACATATATAAGTCCTCTCCATTTTGGATTTTCATGAGATTATTTTCACTTTTCTTTCGTGAACTCCATTAACTCTTAACCTTTTCCAAATAAACCTTTTTATGGATTGACATTCTGACCCCTTGCAGCTTTTTATAAAGGTTATCCACCTTTTAGATGGTAAATTTGGAAAACTGATTGCATGTAAATTGTTTCTTTATATTTGCGCAAAAAAAAAACTTACATGTTACAAACTCTGAGATTGGAGTATATGATTTTGCATTTAATGGTATCATCAGACAAAGTAAGTTTTGATAATTCCAATTCAGACATAAGACCAAAATGAAAAAAGTTCAGTTATGAAATGAAGAAAATAGAAAAATGCATTTGATGAATGACAAGTGTATGGAAAGAAAAATTGTCATCAAGACGAATTTAGAAAATCATAGAGCAAGAGCCCACCATAACAGTCTGCTTAAGTAGCATATGTAATTCTTCCAAACCTGTCCCCTTTGAGAAATCCTGCATGAAAGAAAATACCATATCATTTTATCAACATGTAACTAAAGGTGAAAAGCCGCTCAAACAGTTTTGCTAAAGATTGACTCGAGTGTTCAAATCCAAACTCGAGGCAAGCTCAAGCTAAATTAAAGACTCGCTCCGTCTCATAAAACTTTTCCACTCACGGAAAAGGTGGGATTTAAAGAATGTGTAATTTTGGTGTTACTTTCCAATTTTGACCTTACTTTATTGTAGGGTAGTAATATGCCTATAAATGGATGTACACAAACACACACCGACACACATATAAGAGCTCAATTTGAGCAAATCGAACCGTGTCAATCCCTGTAAAAAATAACAATATGAATTCGAACCCATATTTTAGAAGCTCATTTGATCTAGTACAATTATTCAAGCTCGGCTTGACTCGTTTGCACCCCTACATAGAGCTAGGAAATTAATAAATAAGCAAATAAAAAGACCATCAGATTTCAAATCAAAATTTCTCTAACAATGCCATGTTAATCATAGAGAACCAATTCATGTCAATTGAAAAGAAATGCAATGAAAATTTTAGCATTTTTAATTTAGTGGTAACTCATGACTGAGGTACCCCAACTTACATAGAAAGCTTTACCTCGGCATCCTTGCACAAGTCTGATAGAACAGTAAGTCTTTGCAAAGTCATATTTAGTCTTTCCAAGTAAACCTGGCCTAGAAGAAGAATGTGATGGCAAAAGAATGAGGCAAGAACATTTGAATTATTAACAAGAAACAAAAATATTAGGACAAAAAGAGAAGTTACCATAGCATATTTATCTGATGAAATATGTCATATGGCCTATTAGCACCTAGGAAAATATTAAACATGAGCATAAGAATTGGAAGAAACATAAAAGTAGAAGATTGACGCTATGTTCAACAGGGAAAGGAGTGCAGGAAATCAAATAGATAAATATTGAAAATAAGACACAAATGAGTTGGCTTAAGCTCCATGCAACCAGAGCTAAAATAGAACTACAAAAATTTCTGACAACCTTGATAAAGAGGGAGTCCCTGACAATAGAATTAAACGCTTGATATTCACTGCAACATCAAGAACTACTTTTATCTGCCAATTTAAGAAAACATAAGTGTAACACTAGGAAAAGCATATGTATGGATACAGGGTTTCTAAACTGAAAAATTAGTTAAAAGCATGGCACAAGAACAATGAAAATCGAAATTCAAATAATGCATCAACATAATAGCTTGTAAGTTACCCACATAGGTTGCAATTCCTATTCGAATAAACAAGCGTTCTAGTCATTTTATCAACTCAAGCCATTTAAAATCCCTTTTCAATTCTGAGGATGCAACATTTTCATAATTCAAGTCTGCTTTTACTGCTTTTCCCATAACCAGGCTCTACAATTTTTGTTTTTCCTTCTTCCAGGTACCAAATTCAAACTCGTGACCTCTAGGTGAGGAATACTCCCCAAACCATCCAAGCCAAAGAGAAATTGGTAATGCCATGCTTGCAATGCTTGTTTAGACTGTGATACTTCTTTAAAACCAAAGGCACCACCGCACCACTATCCTTTTTAGCGTTCTTTGGCCAAATTTTTCTTTTCCTAGACATGTTGATGCTATGATTGCATATTAAATTAAATTTCTGATTTGCTCATTCAATTTTACAAAGGTTTAGAGTTTAATATTTCTATTAAGAAAGAATGGGATTGTGATCATGTTCCATATTGTGCTTGTTGTTTTCAAAGTATCAGCTACGTAATGAGGCATGACTATAGAAACTATTTCTAAGCATTACCATCTCATGAAATTTCTCATGCAAGTGATGCAACTGGAAAAACATGTTATCATTATGGTTTTGGAACCTCATCTCATTATTCCTTCAATCCTTCGTATGAAGGTTGCCATGAGAAAGGCATCCAACATAAAATTGGCACTTGCATGCCTTTATACTTGCATTAGCTATTATTGTTTATTGATTTTAGACAATTAGTTGACAATATAAACTTCATTGCAACCAACCTCAAAATAGTTGGGATTAAAGGTATCATATCTTAGTATACACATGTTCGATCTTGCATGCCTTTATATTTGCATTAACTATTATTATTTATTGATTTTAGACAATTAGCTGACAGTATAAATTTCATTGCAACTAACCTCAATATAGTTGGGATTAAAGGTATCCAATCTTAGTGTATACATATTTCATTGTTTCTCCCTAGTTTACATAGATTGTTTAAGCATATTTTCCTAAAAAACATTTCTTATTTAACATGGTACCAAAGCCACCTATGGGGGCCTGATTTTCACCATTTCCAGCAAAATTTTCCAGTCTTGATTGCCCCCCCCCCCCCCACCATTCTAGTGGTGTATGGCATTCTTGATTTTGAAAGCATGGCCTAAGCTGGAAATTCAAATTTCACAGTTTTTAGTCCCGATACCTCCTCTCCTCTTGTCACCATATATGCAGCGGAATCTGAAGAGCTCAGAAACTTAAAAACAATGCCATGAAATCAGTGGTCACTCCAATTACACAATGTGCAGAGAGTGATGAGATTCATACATCAAATTCTGCATCTCTCAAGTTAACTCTCAGTGTCCACATATTCTTGACTCTTACCATATTTCAGGTAATCCCTATTTACTTTTTCATCTTACTTCATCTACATCTCTTTCCATTGTGTTTGGCAATGGATCTAAAATCAAAATGCTTGCCCCAACTGGCATTAGTATAACTTGCATCTCCCTAGTTTACCTTCATATTGAATTCTGTACTTACTAAAATGCCCTTATAATTAGATCTCTACNCAATAGCTGACTCACACTCTCAGTTGCTGAGTTATCTTTTCTTCTAGTTCTGTTGTGGTGCAGGATTGGAGTGCAGGAAAGACAATTGGTTTGAGATATGAATCAAGAATTATATTGCTTGTCACTATCTTCCATCAACGACCATTCTGCTATGTCATCATTTCTTGTTCATACTTCATAGTCTACTAAGTCATCCTAGTCTAAAGGAATTGTGTGAATTTCTTCCAACTTCCAAGTCTACCAAATGTGTCAACCGTAAATTGTGAGTCATGTGAGCTTAGAAAACATTCTAGAGTGTGTTTTAATAATTGAGTAAATAATATAATTAATACCCTTTTCCTACTAGTTTATAGACATGCATAGGTGTCAGGGGACCATGTCATGTTCCTTTTTTTGGGGTTTCAGTTATTTTGTCACCTACATTCATAATTTTCCTTGATGTACTTGGATGTTTTTACTAAAGCAGCGATTTGAAATACCCAATGTTTTCCAGAAGTTCCATAGTGAGATCAAAGGTCAGGTTGGAGTTTCTATGATAGAGATATATGGAGTATTGGAGTTAGAACATGATTTCATAATTTGAAACAGATTTTCATTACTTAAGTCTCCCTGCCTATCTTGGGTTCTATCATTTTGTATGACAGGCGTATGATTTGTATGTGTTCTTTCTGCACAAATGATATTAATCCCCCTCTCCACACAATTTCCCATCTAACCGTTACTCCCCTTACAAAGTACACCAACTAATTTATATTGTCGCTTGCCTTGATGTCATCAATTCCAACGTGGCAACATCCAAAATTTGAGGCTAGGCTTTTCAACAGAATGTTAAAGAAATTTTGTTGGGCCTATTATTAGATTTTCTAGATGCCGAAGCATAGTTATTACGGCGTCGCCTAGGCGTCGCCTAGGCGTCCAGTCGGAACTTTGTTCTCGCCATGCTCCTTCGACTCGACTTAATTTCCGGAGCTCGCCTAGTCGTCGCCGCAGAGACGCCTAGACGTCCAGTCAGTACGCCTAGGGCGACTTACGCCGTGAAATAAAAAAAATTCCTAGCCCAATTGATCTTAGATGTCCAGCCCAAAAATATCAAACCTACCTCAAAAATCCAATCGTCACTGCGTATTCTCTCAATCTATCTGTCGTCGTTCTCTCTCGGGCCCATCGCGGTCGTCCTTCTCTGGAGCTGAATTGGGTCGTTGTTCTGTCTGCCTCACTTCGGAAATCCAGTCTGGGAATTACGATCGACTTATTGTTTGCGATCGGATCAGATGCGAGAGAGCAGGGGCGGAGCCAAATGGGACCAAATGACTGCAATTGCAGTCACTCCACTTTGGGTACCCATCTGTATATACATACATACACATAGCTTTCTGCTCCTTCTTAGACATACACCTCCATTGCTCTCCACTATGTCTATCATTTTCAAATAGCCCTTTCAACACTCCTGCTATCCATTCTCGTCCAAAACTGCCAATTTTCAGTTGATTGAAGCTTTGAAAGGATTCCCAATTGATTTCATTGATCAAAAAGTTACATTTATGTTATTGCATACCATGTGTTCGACAAAATGCCTATGAGACCTATGTTCATTTAACGTCTCCGACAAAGGCTAAACGGATTGACTTGTCACTTTGTTTGTGCCTTGCACCCACTGGGCTTGGATCTTGGCTCCGCCACTGCGAGAGAGCCGAGAATTAGGATAGCCGACCCGACCCGACCCTTCAATTTTGACGGAATTCTTAGCCACTAGCACTATTCCCGTATGACTTTGTATTTAGGCTTTTCCACTAGGACTTTCTATTTTCCTTTAAAATTAACCCTATATGCGTTATGTTTTACTATATATTTTCTGTAATTAGAAGATGTCTTCTATCATTGTTTTCATATTTTATTTTTTATTTTCTATTTCAGAAAAAAACATATAATATAAAAATATAATATATATATATATATATATATATATATATATATATTATTTGTCGCCTAATCGTCGCCTAGGCGCTCGCCTAGGCGTCATGGCGATACATTGGCGCCGCGCCGCGCCTTGGCACCGTGATAACTATGTGCCGAAGGAATCCTCCACGAATTGTCTTGCTCTATTACTCTACAACAAAATGGAGATGTTGAAAGAAAGAATAAACATATAGTTAAATTAACTAGTCATAAGTTTCTAGAGTCTACACTAAATTTCTCCATGTTTTGTGGAGATCATAGTTATTTAAGGCGTGATGCGCACTGATGCACAAAGGACCTCTAGTGCCTCGATGCGCGATGCGCAAATAATGCGCGCGCATCACGAACATGAGGCGCAGATTAAGGCACCTGTAGAATTTCTAGTATATATATATATATAATTTTGAAAAGCAAAATATTATTAAAAAACAGAGAACAATATGTTTATAAAAAAACCAATGAAAAGCAGAGAAGGACTTGCCAGTAGAAAGAAGAGAAACCAGCGAGAGAGAGAAAATATCGTAAGAAGGAAGAGAGCCGACTTAACCTGCTTCTGCAACTTGCGGTTTGCCGGTTTGGAGGACTTGCGGTGAGAAAGAGTCTTACTTGAACCGAAGAAATAAAAGAAAGAGAAAACAATCGTTTAATTTGCCCAGTAGGTTAGCCGTTTAATCTCCTTGGGATCGTAAAAGTTGGGAGGGGTTAGTCGTAATAAATATTAGAGCTAATCCCTAAACCTAATTAATAAAAAGATAAAAATAAAAAACATATGTTCACAAGGCGCGCCTTTTTGCGCATCAATACACTGCGCATATTGCGACGAGGCACAATAAGGCGCGCGCCTCACGAACAGCGCCCGCATCAAGGTTGGCGATGCACTACTCCTGGCGCTTCGTGCGCATCGCGCCTGAGGCGCGCCTCATGTGCGCTTTTCACAACTATGGTGGAGATGATATCCTCTATGCAGATTACCTTATCAATCCCATGCCTTCTGCCTTCATATGTCTTACATAGCCAAATAACATATAGTCTCTCATTCATAGTTATCAAGGCGTCGCCTAGGCGTCCTCCGGTCAGCTACTCTCGCCATTGTGTATTGCATCGCCTTATTTCGCATACCTCGCCTAGGCACCTAGGCATTGCCTTTTGAAAATCTCTTATGCCTTTTAGTTAGTGACTTTTTTCATACTTAGTATTGACTTTGACTAAGAAGTTATATATTGTGTTTTAATCATATTTCATATTCTTCTTTTCTCTCATATTATGGTGTGTTTATATTTTTTTAAGTATGTATATTTGAAATTTTGATAAGGTTTATAGAACACGTATGTTTAATATTTGTGTTACTTAGTGCTACTAATGCATACCAATCCTGATTTCTTATGTGTTGCCGCCTAGGTCACCTAATTGTTGCCTAGGTGGTCCGGTATTTGTCTAGGCGTCATGGCAGTGCACTGGTGCCTCGCCTTGGCACCATGATAACTACGCTCTCATTTTCTAACCAACTCTTGCACAATTTCCTTTAGAAGTCTTTGGGGTGTACTCCCTTTGTCTGAGATAATACTCTAAATCATGACAAATTAGAAGCTAAATCTCTTAAATGTGTGATTGTGGGGCATTCTAGACTTCAAAAAGCGTTCTGCTGCTACTCTTTTAAAACACAACAATACTTTGTGTATCCTAATCTCACGTCGTTTGAGTAAACACCTTAGGATTGCAAGAG